TTTTTTTTTTTTTTTTTTAATGTACATCACTAAATCCATGCAAGTTGTTATCTTTACCCAGGCAAAGAATGTGTCTCTGAATTTATTAATTGGACAATGAACCAAAGTAAGAAGTCCATAAATGGAAAGTATTGAATTTAATGGTCAAATAAAAATTAGAAAGGCATGTTTAAAAAAAAAAAAAAGTAATTTTATTTATGTAATGCTGTTAAGTTCTGTAGTTCTGAATGTTGGAGGTGTGCTCACTTGAATAGCAAAGGAAGAGAAGGCACAACAGATGTAGGAGTCTGCTTAATATTGTAGCACATGAGATGGCTGAAGGCTAAGAATCCATCTAAAATGCTGAACTTTCATCAGTGGCTCATAAGTGCCTCGGAAGAATCAGTATGTTAATACAAACTTGATACGATGATACATAAGCTTGTAAACCTGTTTGAAGTGGAGAGCTGTGTGAATGACTAACTATAGTAGTGTTTCAAGTAAGCTAAATGGAAGCAACATTTCTGTAGAAATACCAAAGCAGGGTTCCAATTATTTTAAACAGAAATGAGTGGAGATTTTTCTTTGGGGGGATTGGAAAGGTTGGTTTTGTTTTTGTTTTGTTACCTTTTTTCTTGAAAGGTGAGACTGACAGTGATACTAATTAAAAAAAAATAACCAAAAAACCAACCAAACAAAAACCCACGAAACAACCAGAAAACCTAGGATGGATTAGATTCTTGGGTTGCACTATCTGTTCCATTTTATATGATCACTTCTGTATTAATAAATACAGTTTCTTGCACAAGACAGGTTAAATTAACATGGGAATGCCAGTGGGGTTTAAGCTTTGTGAATTGCTAACTTTTTAGGTATTTTTAAGAGGAACTTTCATATTAGATAGAGCTGCTGTAAAGATAGTGCTGTTTGCCATGCCGTCTATTAGCAGTGAAATGCAAAGGCATCAGTGTAGTTCTGCTTGAGAATACCTCAGAACAAATTGCTCTTCATATACCTGTACATAAACGTTGCTTTAGTGGTGTGGTCTGAAAGTAAAGGGAGCTACAGTGAAGTGTGAGATACGCCATTTCACTCGTGTTTCTTCGGGAGGGAACTTCCTCAATCATAAGAACTAACTTTAAAAGTGCTTATATGTGAAACAGACTTTTGCTTGCATATTGCAATCCTGCACAGAAAGATGAGGAAGTTGTAGAATTCATGGCTACAGTAAAAGTTTAAAGGGTCAAGTCCATGGGCTGATCTAGATCATGGGTGATGTGTGGTCTAAATGTTGTGTTAATAGATGTGAAAACTTTCTGAAAACAAGCTACACTCAGTGTAAATGCCAAGCTTGTTCCTGACACGGGCTCAAAAGTATCAGTCAGTGATCACTATAACACATTGCTTTGTACTGTGTGCACCTGGTTATGAGAGCCCTGTGTACTCCAGCGTGCTGTAAGGAAACTGTTAGCTTGGCATGAAGTGGATCAGTAGTTATGAATCAATTGAATGCTCCTGACAGAAAGATTTGCAGACTGTCACAGCTACTGACTAACAGGATGTGAAGTGGATTCTGAGAAAATATGAAAAACGAAAGAGCAAAATAACTAGTTGCTAATAAGTAAGTGGTAAAACATAGATGAGGGACATGTCCTTGTTTCGAAGGCTTAATTAAACAGGCCTTAAATAGACCCCAGATCTCACTTCTCACAATGAGTTTTGTATTTTAAATAAGTGATGCCATATCAGATAGAGCAATTTCTTATAAATCTCTGCTAGCAAATACCCACTTGAGATTACTGTCCTGCTTTTTCTGCAAAATATTGTATCCATTCTTCTATATTTTATTTTACTTTAAACATTTTACAGACTGATAGTGAGATGTGGAAAGTATGTCTTGCTACTTAGCAAGTTTTATATTTAAGTCTGTTCAAGGTGAAAAATGCAATGCTTATTTCTCAGTAGTTAGCAAATGCAAAGTACAAGGTAAACTTGGCAATAAGCAAATCATCTTTTTAGTTTGTTCTGGTAGCTTCACCAGTAAAATTGCCTGATTACTAAAGATTGAAAGATTACATAAAGCCAGATTACCCATTTTTACCTCCTTTTATCTCCAGTACAGGTTCTTTAGTAGGAGGAGGAATGAGCTTGGGTAAGAATCAGTATTGCTGATATTGCCTTCCCTTCCAAAATTCTGCTGTTCTTCTCTGGGCTTGCATCCCTTAGAACTTTGTACACCAGGTAAACTAGGCTCTCCAGTGCTTGCTCTCAGGTTAATTGCACAGTCTTTAACTCTTTGCTTCCTGGTGGAAGTGCCAACTCTGTTTCTTCAAAGAAATTAAACTCTTAACATACGGTGCTGTAGTTTGTTAAATAAGGCATCCACAAAATAAAATATTTTAAAGTTTTTTATGGAAAAAATTTTGGTTTGTTTTTTTCAAATCATTATTAAAGAGATTTTTTTTTTTGTTTTGTGAAGTGTGTATGCTTTCTTGGCAGTGATGGTAGATGTCAGCATAGTAAATTGGTATGGCTGGATTAACAGAAATTATTGCTTAGAGTATTTAAATTAAACCATTGTGTATGCACAGTGATTACACTTGTCTACTTCTAGGTGTTCACTACCTCTTCTTTTCTAGACAGTACTGTAAATCTTCTAAACTTGGGGCTTTTATTGTTAATGCTACAGGATTTATTTTACAAAAAATTTCACTCCACTCTAAGCTGTGTTTTGCAAAGCAATACTTGTTTAATATCAGGAAAAAAAGTATATTACGTGGGTTTATTTGCTTAAATGAAATTGTTTGGTCAAGATAGAGAGCTTGGGCTATGCCCTGAAATGAACAAACATGTAACAAACCCTCCATTACTTCAAATGGAAATATTAAAGTCTCTTCCTGGAATTAATTTTTCAAACTCAACCATCATACATATTTTTGATATTACAGAACATTGTGAAAAATGTCTTTATACTGGTCAGCATAAAGGGACTTTTTTAATGGATATTTTGTTTTAATACCATGGTCACCTAATTTCCTAAGGTGCTGTACTTAGGGATCGTAAAGCATAAATTTCCTGACAGAATCATGTTCAAAGACCACGGTAATTTTTTCTTAAATAGTGATGAACAGTACCACAACTGAAATTCGTAAATTAGGATTATATGATGGTACATCCGGTATAGTTTTTGATTTGTTTTATTTTTCCATTTCATATCTAGGGCAAGAATATCTGTCAAATTAATGTGACTGAACAATGCTTAGTATTTTATTGGTCTGCATGATACAAATTGGACAGTTGAGTCTGAGGTTATACAACTATGTTTTGTATATAAACGTGTATAAAATTGGGTACTTGTACTTGTTAAACTACTAGCTGGGACTCTGGAAACCTGTATTTCATTCCTGGCTTCTCTGCTCTCAGCTGGGTGACATTAGGCAGATGGTTTTGCTTACTCATGTCTCCATTTCCTCATCTTTAGAATAGAGGTAATGATGCCTGCTTTTTTGGAGTTAGAAAGTACTGGGCATTTATTATTAGCTGTGGTCAAGTGCCTAAGGACACTGTAAAAAGGTACAAGTAACCTAATTAATCTGTTTTGAAGAAACATTGTAATTGGGCTGAACACTCAGCAGTAAGACTGCCTTCAAATAATACTCAGCTAGGACACATTGGCTTTAAATAATTTTGAATGACTCTTGTTTCTTCAGGAGCAAAGAATGTCACATTCAGGCGAAAATATCCTGAACTAGTCAATTGCAGTTTAGAAAGGAAAATGTATGTACAGCTGCTTGGGACTTCT